TTGAACTACCAGCCCTCTGGTTAGCAATCACATGCCTTAGGCACTGCATCACCAGAGCTCCTGTTGTTCAAATTTAGGCATCAACCACCAAAGCCAAAGATGAGGAAGTTGAAGATTTTTACCAACTTCTGCAGTCTGAAAGTGACCAAACATGCAATCGAGGTGTGTTAATTACCACTGGTGCTGGAATGCAAAAATTGGAAACAAAGAAGAATCACTGGTAGTTGGAAGATATGGCCTTGGGATTGAAATAACACTGGAGATTGCATGATAGAATTTTGTAAGACCAACAACTTATTCATTGCAAATATCTTTTTCAGCAACACAGATAGCAGCTGTACATGTGGACTTCACCAGATGGAGTACATGGGAATCCCATTTACTACATCTGTGGGACAGGTGATGGAGAAGCTCAGTATCTTTGGCCGAAACAAGGCCAGGAGCTGACTGTGAAACAGACCATCAATTGCTCATATGCATGCTCAAGCTGAAGTTGAAAACAAGTAAAATAAGTCCATAAGAGCCAAAATATGAGCTTGATTATATCCCTCCTGAATTCAGAGACCATCTAAAGAATAGACTTGATACATTGAACACCAGTGGAATTGTGGGATGACATCAAGAATATCATCCATGAAGAAAGCAAAAGGTCATTAAGAAGACACAAAAGGAAGGAAAGACCAAAATGGATGCCAGAAGAGACTCTGAAACTTGCCCTTGAGCAGAGAGTAGCTAAAGCAAATGAAAGAAATGACAAGATATAAGAGCTGAACAGAAGATTTCAAAGAGCAGCTCGAGAAGATAAAGTCAATTATTATAATGAAATGTGCAAAGACATGGAGTTAGAAAACCAAAAGGGAAGACCACGCTTGGCATCTCTCAAGCTAAATAAACTTAAGAAAAAATTTAAGCCTCGAGTTGCAATACTGAAAGATTCTATGGGCAAAATAATGAAATATGCGGGAAACATCAAAAGAAGATGGAAGGAATACACAAAGTTACTGTACCAAAAAGAATTGATTGATCCATTTCAGGAGGTGGCGTATGATCAAGAGCCAATGGTATTGAAGAAGAAGTCAAAGCTACACTGAAGGAATTGGCAAAAATAAAAAGGGTCCAGGAATTGACCCATTTGAGATATTTCAACAAACGGATGCCCTACTGGAGCCACTCACTTGGCTAAGCCAAGAGATTTGGAAGACAGCTACTTGGCCAGCTGACTGGAAGAGATCCATATTTGTACCCATTCCAAAGAAAGGTGATCCCACAGAATGTGGAAATTATTGAATAATATCATTAATATCACATGCAAGTAAAATCTTACTGAAGATTAGTCAAAAACAGTTGTAGAAGTATGTTGACAGAGAACTTCCAGAAATGCAAGTTGGATTCAGAAGGGGACATGGAATGAGGGATATCATTGCTGATATCAGGTGGATCTTGGCTGAAAGGAAGGAATACCAGAAAGATGTTTACTTGTGTTTTATTGACTATACAAAAGCATTAAATTGTGGATCATAACAAATGATGGATAACATTGAGAAGAATGGAAATTCCAGAACACTTCATTGTACTCGTGAGGAACCTGTACATAGACTAGGAGGCTGTCATTCAAACAGAACAAGGGGATACTGCATGGTTTAAAATCAGGAAGGGAGTGCATCAGGGTTGTATCCTTTCACCATACTCATTCAATCTGTATGCTGAGCAAATAATCCACGAAATTGGACTATATGAAGAAGAACATGACATCAGGTTTGGAGGAAGACTCATTAACAACCTACAATATGTGGATGACACAACTGTGCTTACTGAAAGCACTTGAAGCACTTACTGATAAAGATTGAAGACTACAGTCAGCAGTGTGGATTACACTTCAGTATAAAGAAAACAAAAATCCTCACAACTGGACCAATAAGCAGCATCACAATAAATGGAGAAAAGATTGAAGTTGTCAAAGACTTCATATTACTTGGTTCTACAATCAACACTAATGGAAATAGCAGTCAAGACATCAGACTACGTATTGTATTGGGTAAATATGCTGCAAAAGACCACTTTAAAATGCTGAAGAGTCTCCTTGAAGACTAAGGTGTGCCTAACCCAAACCATGGTATTTTCAGTCGCCTCATATGCATGTGAGAGCTGGGTAATAATAATAAGGAAGACCGAAGAGGAGGTGATGCTTTTGAGTTGTGGTGCTGGTGAAGAAAACTGAAAGTACCATGGACTGCTAAAAGAACTAGCAGATCTGTCCTGGAAGAAGTGCAGTCAGAATGCTCCTTGGAAACGAGAATGGCCAGATTTCGTTTCACCTCCTTTGGTCATAACGTACATAACAACAACAACAACAACAACAACTTTTGTCATGTTGTCAGAAGGGACCATTCCCTGGAGAAGGATATTATGCTTGGTAAAGTGGATGGTCAACCCAAAAGGGGAAGGCCCTCAATAAGAGGGATTGACACAGTGGCTGCAACAACGGACTCGGGTATAGCAAGGATTGTGAGGCTGGCATAGGACCGGGCAGTGTTTTGTTCTGTTGTACATAGGGTCGCTATGAGTCGGAGATGACTCGACAGCTAGTGGTGGGGCTAGAAGGTAATATTTTGAGGAGTGACTGAGAGAAGTGAGGAAATATATACAGTCTTTTTTAAAAGCATTTGGCTGTGAAAGAGAAAAGAAAAATAGAGTTGTATTGGGTGAGAGAGGGACTAGGTGAATACAATGAGGTTTGTGTTACTTCTCACTACAAGAGACTCAATATGTCTAGAGGCAGGTGACAAGGGACTAGTGGAGTGGTAAGAGTTGATAGTTCAGTTAAGAAGGGGGGTATTCAGTGGATCCTGGTCCTTAAGGAGGCAAATGGAAATGCAATTCAGAGCAGAGTTGACCACAAAATACATGGACAAGGGGAGAGGGTACTTGTACTACTCCAACAAAATAGAAGAAAGGATAGGTGTGGAGGCAAATTAACTGTGAAGGTGTGTTGTTGTTCTTATTATGTGCCCTCAAGTCGGACCCAACTCATAGCGACCCCTCCTTGGGTTTCTGAGGCAGTATCACTACAGAAGTTGATTGCCCAATCTTCCTTCCAAGGAGTGACTGGTGGGTTTGAACTGCCAGCCTTCTGGTTAGCAGTCAAGTGCCTTAGGCACTATGCTACCAGAGTGTGGTAGCAGGAAATTAAGGGATATCCTTTGTGGTGGTTTTGATTTCTCAAAAGTGAAATCAGCTATTGAGACTAAGTGGCAAGATGGTAGAGACCATGGTTTAAGATAAATGGAACAGATTTAAAATATCTGTATTCATTTCCTAAGGATGCTCTAATATGGTGCCATTAACTAAGTAGCTGAAGATGCAGAAACGTATTCTCTCACAGTTTTGGAGGTCAGGAGTCTGAAGTCAAGGCATTGGAAGGCCATGCTCTCTCTGAAGGCTCTAGAGAAGCACCTGTTCCATGCCTTTCTCTTAGCTTCTAATGTTGCTGGCAATCTTTGGCTTTACTCTGTTTGTTGATACAGCACTCCAATCTCTGCCTTCATTGTCACCATCATGTGGTATTTTCCCTTTGCATTTACCTGTCTTTGTGTCTCTTCATATAAGGGCACCAAACTAATTCCAAACTCACTGCTATCAAGTCAATTCAGACTCATAGCAGCTCCTTTTGGGTTTCTGAGGCAGTAAACCTTTATGGAAGTAGATTGACCAGTCTTCCTTCCATGGAGTGTCTGGTGGGTTTGAACCGCCAGCCTTCGTTAGCAGTCAAATGCCTTAGGCACTACACACCAGAGCTCCTTAAAAGGACACCTGTCATGGGATTTAGGGCCCACACTTCTCCAGTATGACCTCATCTTAACTAATTACATCTGCAAAGACCCTATTTCCAAATAGGGTCACATTCTGAAGTTCCATAAAGGACATGAATTTTGAGGGTACACTTTTTAACCCAGTGCAATACTGACTGTGGAGAAAGGGAGAGAAAGCTAAGGAACTTAGTGATAAGATAGAAACCAAAGACAACAGAAGAAAGGAAACAAAGTAAGGACAAAGATAATGAAGTATAATAATAGATTGTGGTAAGTCTGTTTCCCTTCTGAGGGTAAGCTACAGGAGCCTCTTCTTTTTCCACACAAGAGGATGTTTAATAAAGACCTCCCATTGCAAACAAAAGGAGAGGTATCTTTGTAAAACAGCAAGGGATAAAAGTTTAAAAACCACTAGCTCAACCATCTTTTTCTATCAAATCACTCAACTAGTCACAGCCATAACCTGACAGGAAATGCTCCTTTGAAACTACTAATAGAAGAGAAGATCAATTTCTACCCTTAGGTACCTGAGGAGAATGTATTCTGCATTATTTCATATTTCAACAGCTTCTTTAGCTTCATTGCCCCAGGAGGACTAGAAAACTGGCTCTCTACTTATTACTAATTTCTTGCCTGAGCTTTCTGGGCCTTGTGAAGATGAAAAAGCAGGAGAGAATGGGGAAGGGCCTGGCTTATTCTGCTGGGTGACTGTGAACTTTAGGAGAAAGGCCAAAGAAGAAAAGTTCATTGTGCCTATTTTTTTTAATAAAAATTCCTATTTAACAATACAGGGCCTCTAACAAAGTGTGAGCCATCTCTTGCTAAGAGTGACTGGCAAAAGAAATTAACCCCAGAGCAATACCACGTCACAAGGGAAAAAGGAACTGAACCGGTAAGCTGATTCACAGTTTTTCTGTTGAGGTGTGTGTCGGGTGAGGGGGGAATTGGAATTAGATCATTTACCAAACCTAACTCATCATCTCCTACTCTACACATCTGATCTCAGGGTATCACTGTCCTTCCAGTTGTAGAAACCAGACACTTCCCCTGGACACATCCCTCTCCACCCTCCATCACCTTGTCCTGTCTATTCTTCCTCCTAAATAGTCTTCAGATCCCACTTCTCTTTTCTCTGTTGCTCCTGCCTCCACACTAGTCCATGTTACCATCATCTCTCATTTGTCTTACTACAGTAGCTTCCTGTCTGTCCTGCTCACAATTGTTCTTGGTTTTCACCAACCCATTCTCCACATGGTCACTAAAGAGGTCTTTTGAAAACACAAATCTGACCACATCACTCCCCTTCTAATAGCCTTTCAGTGACTTCTTACAGCTTTCAAAACAAAGAGAAACATAATAAAATGGCTAGTAAGGCCCTATGGGATCTGCCCCCCACCCCTATACCCCACAACTTCAAATCTAGCCAGTTTTCCTCCTGATCTCAGCACTTCAGTCACACTGTCTTTTTTTCAGCTCTCAAATACCCTGGGCTCCCTTCTGTCTCCAGGCCTTCCTTCTCTTCTCCTATCAGCCATCCCTCTAATTAATTCATAGGTACCTTTTAGTTCACTTGAGCCCAAATCATACTTTTTCAGGGAAGTCTTTCCTACCTCAAGACAGATTTGCCTTTACTGGCATGTTTCCTTCATAGCATATCCCCTTATGCTATAGTAATGCAACACAACACACTGCTGTGGAGTCGAATCTAACTCATAGTGACCCCTCCTTGGGTTTCTGAGGCAGTATTACTATGGAAGTAGATTGACCAGTCTTCCTTCTGAGGAGTGGCTAGTAGGTTTGAACTGCCAGTCTTCTGGTTAGCAGTCAAATGCCTTAGGCACTAGGCCACCAGAGCTCCTTACGCTATAGTAGGCACTCAAATTTTTGTGACTGTTAAATGACTGTAGACTAAGAAGTAGAAACTTACCTAAGCTGTGTTCAACAATCTCAGCTTTCGTTAGTTTCCTGAGAAAACTACCCTCTGTTGTTCCTCATTATAATACCATTTTCTTATATCACTGTCTTTCTTAACAGGTGATCCATCTTAGACCCAAATAGATCCACTGGAATTTAGCTATTGAATTTTATTATCAGATCTTTTCAGTTGTGAGGCAGACTGCACAGAACGAACCATAGCACAGTGGTTTTGCAAAGTTGGAATATATTTATTCTTTATCAGTACCTACTGAATCCATGTAGCTATCCATGTGCATGTGGACTTATAATCATGGGCCACCCTCATCTTCTCCTTTACTAAAGTAATCAGAAAGGCCAGCAGATCCCATTCATTGCCTCTTGGGGCAATGAAGCTAAAGAGGCTGTCTCATAAAATACTATGTTTTGAAACTTCCTGTGGCTAAAATTTTAATAAAGTCTTTACTGGGGAAGAGGCTACATTAGCCATATTTTAGTAGCACAAGGGAGTCACATGAATGGTAGTTTGTGTGCAGTTGTGTATGCTCCCAGAATATTCTAAGCCAGCCCTAGTTTTGAGGTACAGAGCCAGGCAGAGTTTGGTATATATACAGAGCCTGGAGATGAGCTGCCAGATGTTTGGGAGAATAAATTGGTGGGCTTCTTAAACAGATGGTGCAATATACTCTGCACATTTGGCCATTTTACAAAATGAGCATCATCCATTATTTTAACTAATGTTATAAATCCCTTGCAGTCGAGCCATTCCCACATTTAACTTTCAGAATACTGCAGAATTATAAGCCTTAGTTAACTTCAATGGGCTGAGGAAAGAGAAGTAAAACAACTAAGCTTTCTAGTTGATGACTCAAAATTAAAATTCAGTTACATGTGTTTTTGTTGGGCAGCAGTAATATGCTAACATTATGGCATTGGGTTGCTAACCAGGAAGTCACTGGTTCAAACACACCAGACATTCTGTGGGAGAAAGACAAGGCAGTCTGCTTCCATAAAGATTTACAGCCTTGGAAACCCTATAGGAATTGTTATGAGTCAAAATTGACTTTATGGCAGTGGGTTTATGCTAAGTATTGGAAAAACAGTAGAGAAATATTAACAAATTCTTACCATGAAAAGTTTACAGTCTGGCTGAGCAGTAACTAAAAGTTAAGTATCAATAGACAGTTCTTATGATGTAGGTTCTTCTCTGTCTGCCCTCCACATTCATGCTCCACATGTGTTATCCTGCTCTGAGCTCCAGGAATAGTAACCAGGCTCCCTTGCCCTCTGGCTGTTGATTTGAGTTCTGTGAGTGGGAGGTGCCAGTGAGATCATTGGGCAGGATAGAGAAGTCAGATCTAAGGTCCTCCCTCTAGGCTGCAGGTTGCCAGTGGCTGTGTTGCTCTACTACAGGATGTACATCCAGCCAGGCAGCTCTCAACTACCACTGCAGCCTTACTGAGTTCTGAAGACTGTTCTTTCTATTGTCTCACAGGCATAGTAGTGGTAGCGTGTCCTCAAGGTCACTAGCCCAGCGTGCTTCACTATTCCATGTTGGTTTCCATTGGCCCCCACCATTGTAGATGGTCTTGCATCCAGTCATCTGCATTCATCTGCATTCTGAGTGTTTCATCTATTTCTAACAAGTGTGCTGTATTCACAAGATCAGAGAAAGGAGAATTCTCATTGGTTCAGATAAACCTTGAAAATCCAAGGCGTATCACAGATGTCATTCTGCCTGTGACCCTGTCCTCCCTCCTCTCAGTACAGCCAGTTACTTCAGTTCTTCCTTCTAAATAATTCTTGAATTGATCCTCCACTACTTCTGCTCTAGCTAAATCCAGGCCTGCATTTGTGGTCTTCTGAGGATTCTTTGCCTTCAGTGTCTTGTTCCTGATCCAGTCTATTTTTCTCATGGATGCCAAGTGATGTTTCTAAAAACTCTGATTATGTGCACACTCAGTTTAAGATTTTCCAGTGGCTTCTCATTTTCATTGGGACAGAGTTTAAATTCATTTTGAAAAGCAAAAATGTCATTTTGATGACTAAAGTGCCTGACCAAAACCATGGTCTTCTCAGTTGCCTCATATGCATATGAAGGCTGGACAATGAAAGAGAAAGAACAAAGAAGAACTGGTGCATTTGAATTGTGGTGTTGACGAAGAATATCGAATATACCATAGACTACCAAAAGAATGAACAAATTAGTCTTAGAAGAAATACAACCAGAATGCTTCTAAGAAGCGAAGATGGTGAGACTTTGGCTCGCTTACTTTGAATACATCATCAGGAAAGACCAATTGCTGGAAAAGGACATCATGGATGGTGAAGTAGAGGGAAAATGAGACAAACCCTCAGTGAGGTGGATGGACACAACAGCCACAGCAATGGACTCAAACACACCAACGATTATGAAGATGGCACAAGACCGGGAAGTGTTTCATTCTGTCATACATAAGTTTGCTGTGGGTCAGGCCTAACTCAACAGGAACTAGCAACAATAGCAGCCAAAGCCCAGTGTGAACTAACCCCTTCCTGCCTTTCCAGTTTCATCTTTCTCCCTTCTCCCCCTTGCCTTGTTCTGTCACATGGGTCTTGTTCAAGCCCATCTGCATTTCTGAAATACTTTTCCATTTCTTCATCTAATTAACTCTTACCCAATCTTCAAAACTCAGTTTTGTCGTTTTTCTATAATAATTATCAACACTTGTGAAATTGAAAAATCAATATTATTAAAAGCTTAAAAAAAAAAAAACAAAACCTGATCTCATACACTACCTGGTACAGAAAGTCTTTGTAGAAACACCCTTAGTAGTGAAGGGCACTGTTGTTGTTGTTGTTGTTGTTGTTATCTGCTGTCAAGTCAGACCCAACTCATAGTGACCCCTCCTTGGGTTTCTGAGGCAGTATCACTATGGAAGTAGATTGCCCGACCTTCCTTCCAAGGAGTGGCTGGTGGGTTTGAACCGCCAGCCTTCTGGTTAGCAGTCAAATGCCTTAGGCACTACACTACCAGAGCTCCTAGTACACTGGTGCTACCCAAACTCCATGCTGATCTCTCTATCATGGCTGTTATTACACGGTATTATAACTGTCCCTGGATGGTGCAAACAGTTAATGAATTCGTCTGCTAACCAAAAGGTTAGGGGTTTGAGTCTTCCCACAGGTGTCTACCCAGATCATCTACTGCTGAAAAATCAGAAATTTAAAATTCTATGGAAAACAGTTCTACTCTGACACACGGGGTCACCATGAGTCATATTGGAACTTTGATGGCAATTATTTATGTTCTTTTTTAAATGATAAATGTTGGCTCATTTGTCTTCTTCCCAACTAGGTAGCAAATTCTTTTAGCACAGGAGCTGTGGTTTTATTTTTTCCATATTTGCAGCATTAGCACCCAGCCCAGTCAGTATATAGTAGCTTTTCAAGTAAATACTAGAATGAATGAATGAGGTAGAAGTTTAATGTAGCCCTGAATAAGTAATATGACTTATCTAAAATTGAGAGCCATCAGACAAGGAGGCAGGGGATAGGTGCCATCTCACAGAATATGTTGGCTAGGGATTACTTTGCATTTTGAATATTTCTTTTTACTTACTGTGATACCAGTTCTCTGTCACTTCCTTTGCCCAACTGTACCCTGTAATGACAAAATGATCATTTGAATTTATCAGACTATCTGGATCCTGTGGATGGCTTTTCTAGATCTTCATAACAGAACTTCATCTTCATTACAGATGCAAATTAATGCCAGTGTTGGGAGCAAGCATTCAAGGGGGACAGGCCATAAAGAGACCAGCTTACTACTGCTCAGATTTCTGCAGCCAAGTTTGAAGTTTGTAAAGAGGGAAAAATCCAAGTGTGCCCAGATGGTAGGCTCACTAGGTTAATTTGAAATTGTCCATTATGCAGCTCACTGAAAATGTAGTTAGTACTACCACAGGGAATTTGTACGTCGGACCTGCGGAGTTTTTGAGATGGAAAGCCTGGAGAAAGCAGAAGGTTCCAGCTTCTTTACTGAGTCAGCCTGGTGACTTGGTGAGCCATTCCATGCTTTGGATTCTTCTCCGTAAGATGGCATAATGCTTACCACCAGACACTGGAAGTGAATTTTCATAATTAGCCTGTGCAAGTGCCCCCCTTTCAGTAGAGGAGATAGTGAAAAGACTTGGGCAAAACTGGGATTTTTTTTGTATAATGCAATCCAGTTTCTAAAATAACATTTTAAAAATATTGACCTGGCTCACTCATTGCCTCAAGTCTCCTTTTGTTCCTCTTGGAATACGTTTGAAAACCTGCACACTCTTTTGTTCTAACAGTTTATTTATTTGATTATGGTTTGGGTGAAAGTTAACGGAGTAACTTTGTTTCTCATTCAACCATTTATATGCTTTTTGTTTCCTGCTATCTGTTGCAGCTCCTTAAATGTAACAGCACTTTTCCCACTTCCTCCCAGGTTCCTCGTTCCATTTGTCCTTCTTTCCTGCACCTTCCTGCCTTCTGAGCTTTGTTTTTGGACAGATGCTTTCCTTTTAGTCTCATAGGCTTGATTATTCTGAGGAGCATGTACCTCTCGAGGGTTACTGTTCTCTGCATAGGCCTGTGTATTGTTTGGCTGAAAACTGATCCCCGGTGGTTAGGTTCAGTTCCAAGTTTGAAGGGTGACTAGGGGCCGTAGTCTTGGAGGTTCTACCAGTCTCCATCAGACCAATAAGTTAGGTCTTTTTTGTGATTTTTAGTTTTGTCCTACATTTTTCTCCCACTCTGTCCAGGACCTTCTATTGTGATCCCGATCAGAATGAAAACCTGCGAACTCTTTAAGCGACAGTTAAGATAGTAATTTCATGTAAGAAGTAACTTAGGCACTAGGAGAATCTAGCTTATTGTTTAACATTTATTAAGTGTCCAGTGTCCTAAACACCACATGAACATATCATCTCCTGATCTCACTGATTTGTACTTTTCATGTATTTATAGTCTATCTTTAATTGGAGATTTCAAAGTGTTTCAAGCAGTGGACTGGATTCCTATGGAATGTAATCTTTTGGAGTGGAGACTGAAATCTCACACAGTCACAGAGGATGAGGCTGTTGTCTTGCTTTTTTTTTGCTGACTTTGATGTTCTTAGATGAAAGGTGCTATATAAATACAAAGCATGCTTCATTCATAATTTGAATATTTGGCACAATAAAGGCTGGGTTGTAAAAAAGCCTGCAGCCTGCTTCCTTGGGTGTGTTGTAATTTACTCTCTTGGTGATAGTTGTACTTCTCAAGTTAATAAAGAGATTCCTTGATTTGGGGACTTGTCTTTGTATCATCTCTGCTGCTGTTGTAAGAAACCTGAAACATGGTGTATCTAATTTACTTTCAGCCTTTCAGTGGGATGTATTTGAATAACAAGGAGTCAGGAATGTATCACTGTGTGTGCTGCGATAGCCCACTCTTCAGGTAAGTTAAAGAATAAAGAGGCAACAATGGCAAACAAACCTTTCATATAGCTCTATTTCGCTGAGGTCTTGGGAAAGTAAATGCCTTCTTATTTGGCATCATTGCTTTAAGGAGAGCTATTCATATCCCTGTTTTCATTGTTTCTAGCATTTAGAGCTGTTAACAAAACTTCTTAGCTTATTATATTCTTTCCTTCTGTATCCCTGAGAAATAAGTACAAGAAAAACTTGGTGGGCACTGTAAGATAAAGCTATTAGAATATTTTAGACAGAAAGTATTTCAAAAAGAATCTAAACCATAATTGTATTTGCTTGACCATGTGATTAAAACTGTATCTCTCCCCAGGAAAATGGGTTTATAACTTAATTTAGGAAATGTAGAGTTCTGTGAGGATAAAATCCCCACAATACTTGACAGTAGTGCATGCCATGCCCTCTTCTATGTAGCTAAGAGTAAATTTAATTGTCCGTTGATTTCAAAGCCTCTTTTAAGTCAATCAGCATCTGAAATCTCTCAACAAAGGCTTTTTTGTTTAGACATGCAGGAAACAGTCTAAAAAAAGTAGATTTGACGAGGGAAAAAGGAAAACATCTTTGAAGTCCTGTTTTTCAGAACATCAAAGATGTTTTCCTTTCTTGTGCATCTACCCTAAATTGGTTTAGAATAAAACATAAATCAAGCCAGCTTTGTGAATCTTCCATTAGGCAATACTTCATTTTGTCCTTTGGGCTTTGAGCAACTGGGTTTCCCTGGCCAGTTGCTAATGTGGGCTGCATTAGGAAAGCCAGACCTCTCCCTTTAAGTACGAAGAGTGATTAGGATTGATTTTCCTTCATGCTTACTGAAGGGCAGGCCTTTGCCAGATCCACTCGCTGTCAGTGGCCTGTGTGGAGATAGTTGAGATGGCTTTCGGCCCAGGATGGCATGGCATAAACCCAGAGAAGTAGGTTCATTGTTATTCAGCAAAACGTGCAACTGTTATTTTGGGGGCATTAATAATTCCTTGACCTTTGGTTCTGTTAAAGAGGAGAAGTAGGACTTTGAGATGGTCTACCTGCTTTTAGCCAAAGAACTATATTGTAAAAGTATAAAAGTCTGCCTTATTACTATGTATTCATCACACAAAATTGCTGTCTTTGGACTGTGACAACGAAAGATGAGAAGTCATCCTTGTAAGATGGCACTCCAAGATTTTATTCTTTTCTTTTTCTTTCCTTCATTGGTGTTTCATTTTCTGCATCACTAAAGATAAGGCCTTCTTAACTACTTGTACTTACTCTCTCCACCACCCAGGTTCATTCATAGAATCACAGAATGTTAAAGCAAGAAGGGACATGAAAGACTTAGAGCAGGTCTGTCCAATAGAATTCTCTGATGGAAATATTCTAGATCTGCACTGTTCAGTACAGTAGCCATTAATCACATTTGACTATTGAGCACTTAAAATGTGACTAGTGCAACTGAGGAGCTGAAATTTTTTTTTAAACTTAAAATGCTACATGTGCCTAGTGGCTACTGTATTATCACAGTGCTAGTTCAAAGGAGCTCTAGTGGCATAGTGGACAAGGCATTTTGCTACTAACCAGAAGGTCAGTGGGTCACACCCAACAGCCGCTCTGTGGAAGGACGATGGGGCAATCTGCTTCTGTAAAGATTTACAGCCCTGGAAACTCAATGGGTTGCTATGAGTCAGAATGGACTTGAGAGCATTGAGTTTTTGTTTTTGAATCCAAATTAGGGACATTAAATGACCAATCCCAAGTTAACTGAGGTAGTGAAGTAGATAGGACTAATAAGAAAACCAGCTGATTCTCCAAAAGCTGTTTACCAAGTAGCCAGTTTGCTTAATTGCCAATTCACCTACACTGCTTTTTTTTAACTAAAAATTTTCCGTCTCATTTTCGTCAGGATTTTTTAGTTTGTTTCTGTCTCAGCTTCCTGCTGCAGCTGAGACTGGGAGAAATAAGAAGAATTTATTCTTTTGATCATTTATGTTCCAGAGCATAATTTCCTTAAAGACACATGGCAGTGTGGTAGAAACTGGCTGCCTGGGTGCACCTCCTGGCTCCACTGCTGTGACCTTGGGCAATGTTCATAACCTCTTTGTGCCTTGCATTCCTCGCTTGTAAAATTAGGATAATACTCACAACTCCAAACCAAACTCACTGCCGTCGATTCGGAACCAACTCATGGTGACCCCTCCTTGAGTTTCTGAGGTAGTATCACTACGGAAGTAGATCGCCCAACCTTCCTTCCAAGGAGTGGCTAGCGGGTTTGAATTGCCAGCCTTCTGGTTAGCAGTCACATGCCTTAGGCACTATGCCACCAGAGGTCCTTAGGATAATAATTGTACCAAATTAATAAGGTTGTTGGGAGGATACAGTGAGCTATGAATTAATACATGGAAAGCATCAGAGCAGTGCCTGACACATGACAAGCACGGAGTGTTGTTGTTGGGAACCGTCAAATTGATTTTGACTCATAGTGACCCCACGTAACAGAGTAGGACTGTCCCATAGGTTTTGTAGGCTGTAATTTTTATAGGAGCAGTTCACCTGGTCTTGTTCTGGCTCTGATGGGTTTGACCACCAACCTTTGGATTGTTGTTGTTGTTGTTATGTGCCATGGAGTCAGACCTGAGTCATAGCGACCCCTCCTTGGATTTCCAAGATGGTATCACTATGGAAGTAGATTGCCCAACCTTCCTTCCAAGGAGTGGCTGATGGGTTTGAACCACCAGCCTTCTGGTTAGCAGTCAAGTGCCTTAGCCACTATGCTATCAAAGCTCCTTTGGATTAAAGCTCTGTAAATACTCAATACATGTTAGCAATTATATATTCTTAGAGATAGATCCTTCTTGGGGCTTTATTCATAAATATACATTTGATAATAAAGAAGTCTTGAGAATATATTCTAATTAATGAGAATATATAAATGAAGAGTATATTCAGGAGTTCTCTTCCTAATGAATAGTCTTATGACTATATTCTTGTTTTGCCTGTTAGTCTTCACTCCACCCTCACCCCCACCCCAGTCTCCAACCTCAGTAGTAGGGAGCATAGACAAAGAAAAAGCATTTGTAAAATGCCTGTACAAAGTCAAAATGGAGTGAAAAAATCGGTTGACCAGACTAAACAGTTAAACTAGTAAATGCAGGGACCATTCCCCCTTGCTGTCTGCACCTACTGGGGCTGATTCCTACCTTCAGACATTCCTTCACACTGCACCCACCTCCTGGAATTTGCTTACCCCCAATGTATGCTAATTTAAGTTCTACTTATTCTTCAAGCTCCAGTTTCTCCACAGCCTTCTTTGATAGCACACTTTTTTTTTTCTGTTCCAAATTGCTGTTAATTTGTCATCAGTACCACACAATTTAGGATTTAATTATTCTTTTATTAGCTCAAATATTGTGTTTGATTGAAGAGAGATAAAAACATAAGATTCTTGAGGTCCTGGGCCATCTTAAACTTCTTATACACACCTCCTGGAGGTGGTTATTAAGTAATTCTTGATTGATTGATGAATAATATCTATCCTACATTCCTTAATAGCAGTAGAAGTGTTTGGAATATTAAATGAAGTAAAGTTATGAAATTATTATATAAATGTAAGGAAAGTAGCTACCACTGCTGAGCACTTACAACATACCAGGCACTGTGATCAATACTTTGCAAGAAATCCCTACACTCCAATGAGGAAGTTATTAATTCACTATTTAATAGAGGTGGAGACTGCAACTTACGGTCTTTAAGTAATTTGCTTAAGGTCACACATACAGTAATTGACCATGCTGGGAGCCCAATGCTTGGCTTCTGTGCTTTGCTGCTTCTCAGAAAAGGAGGCATTTCAACCATGGAAGAGCATACATGAGGTCTTCACATATATCCTTTCATTCCCTCCTCTCAGCAACTCCGGGAGGTATTGTTACTCTTCTCCTTTCACTTGAGCAAACTGAGACTTAGGAAGATTAAATAACTTGCCCTGGGTTCTGCCATTAGTAAGCTGCCAGCCAAAATATGAACCCAGGTCTTTGGAACCCCAAAGCCCACACACTCTGTAGTCTACAGTTCCATAAACCACTTGGGCAGCACTGTATCACTGGGCACCATCCCCATCTGGTGGCTGCTTTCTGAATTATAGTTATAAATCCCCAAGAAGACATGAGCAGCCTCAACAGGGATACCCTGGCCATTTTAAGGACAGCAGCTCTGAGCTCTCTTCCAAAGCCTTGTTTCCAGCCACATCTGCTAGACTTAACCACACTCCTGTTTATGATCCTATAGCCGTTGGAATGAATGTAGTACATATTCTTGGATAGCTGCTGACGCTCCACATCAGAGAGCTTTAAAGGAGGGCTTCAGGGTCAAGAACACTTTCCGGGATTTTAAACTCTCCTAGAGACTCTAGACTGTCATTAACCTTGGGATTATGTGATGCTGCCCCTTGCCTGCTTGCTCTCTTTCCTTTCCCTCTCCCCCATGAGCCAATTCTGAAAGTGTTAATTTATTAAAACCTATTGTGGAATATCCTATTTCATGGTCACACATCTTGAAATAGAAGGAAACTGAGAGCCTAATTTTAGGTCACTGATAACTTAACATCTTGATGCCCTACATGTCACAAGTAACTAGGTAAGGTTTAAAGACCTTATGTGTGCCCCTGCCCACCCCACCCCACCCCCAATAAACAGAAATTCCACTTAAGATGTTAAGGTTGTCAGTTATGACTGGGTGCCTCTTCTGTTGATTTGGGGGCTGTGGAATTTCCAGAAATGAAAGAAAAACAAAAGAAATAAATGTATAGCAAAACTAAACAAACATAAGAGTAAATGAGAAGAGATCCATAATGGTTTTAATTTTTTAAGGGAGTGCTTTATCATCTGCTAATCATTTAAATATATATTGGATTTCTAATTGGCCTTAACAGTTAGGTTCTCAGTCTTAAATTTTATATATTGGGGCTCTTCTATTACTTTGTAAAATCTCCAGATTCTGTTAATTGCATCAATAAAGGTTTATTGTTTCCCATAAAGTGTTTTAATGGTTTTTTATTAGTCTTAGATTCATTCATTTTTTTTTTTGGTAATTTATTATATTCATAATTTTCTGTCAAAAGTCCTTTAATGATCACTAGTTTATATATAGGAGCTCTGGTAGCATAGTGGCTAAGGCACTTGACTGCTAACCAGACGGCTGGCACCCACCAGCCACTCCTCGGAAGGAAGGTTGGGCAATCCTACTTCTGTAGTGATACTGCCTCGGAAACTCAAGGAGGGGTTGCTATGAGTCGGGGCCGACTCGATGGCAAACAACAACAACAACAACAGTTTATATATATGCTGAGGGTAGAAATGCTGAGGGTGATTAAAATATACTTGTGTTTTTTCCTGGGCCAGAGTAGTTTTGAGTGAATAATTTTGAATCCTTAGAAAAAAGTTACAAAGAACCCAACCTCATTGTGCACTTAGACTCTCAGCTCTCAAATTTCATGAATATTTGTTATTAACAATAATAGTGATGTTAAAAAAATAATAGCTATTAAGTATTACACTATGATAAACACATTAAATACAGAAATTATCTCCAGTTAATCCTCTCAGCAATCCTTGGAGGTAATAATGCCATTTCTATTCTATAGATAAGGACATTTGTAGTCTATAGATAAGAGGATTTAAAAGAGTAAATAATTTACCAAGGTCACACAGATGTCCCAGACAAAGCCTGGATTCACACCCAAATTTCAGATGGCAAAGTGCTTACTCCTGCTATACCTGTACCTGTGGTTCTCAAAATGTGGTCTGAGGATCCCAGAAGGTCTCTGGGACTTTTTTTCTGGGATCTAAGAAGTTCTTTTTTTTTCCAACTACATACTCATGTGAGGCCAAATTGTGTTCAAATATTTCAACAAACCAACATTGCAACAGATTGAATGCAAAAGCACATATGAGGATTCAGCTGTCTTTTATTAAGCCAGACATTAGAGAGATTTGCACAATGCAAAACAATGCATTTTTCTATCTAAATGTTTGTTTCATTTTGGAAAATAGTTATTTGTCATATTATTACGTTAGCATGTAGTGAAATTACTTATATTTAAAAATAATTTCATATATTTTTTAAAATTCTAATTTCTAATTTTAATATTTGCAAACCATGTAAACAAAAGCTCTTAGAGAGCGTCAATAATTTTTTAGTATAAAGGAGTCCTAAGACCAGTTATACTATATTATTTCTGCTGGGGTTTGAGCTCTTAAACTGAGCTTTCTTCTGTGTTCATTGTCTGAGAATTTATTTGCCATCTTCTTTGCTCAGTTTTTTGCAGGGTTTAACATTCAATTATTCTCTTCCTTAGATAGGTAGAGCTATCTCCCTGCCATTTAAAATAAAAAATCTGTTTTCCTAGGGCCATGTAAAAAAAAAAAAAAAAATCCCACTGCCATGGGGTTAATCCCAACTTATAAAAGCCCTATAGGACAGAGTAGAACTGCCTCACAGGATTTCCAGAACCAGACTGCCACATCTTTGTCCTGCTGGGTTTGAACCAACAACCTCTTGGTTAGCAGCCCTGCACTTTACCACTGATTCAGCAGGACTCCTGCATATAAGCTTGCTTAAGTAGTACGTAAGGAGCTTGTATTTCAGAGCACTTAGAGAATAGGTCTGTAGTGAGTAAATTTACTTGTTGCCCTTTCCCTTCTCTTGCCAGTTCCTCTGGCCTTCCCCAGCCTTCAGCATCATTAGCATGTGTGGCACTTCCCCTGGAGGGTTCAGGCTTCATGACAGTGATTGACTAAGGGTACCCAGGCTTATTTATTAATATTAATAACATGGCTAATATTTGTGAACACATACCATGTGCCAGGCATGGTGCTATAAACTGTGCTCCACAGACTATCAACAGCTCTGTAAGATAGATACTATTATTATCCCCATTCTACAGATGAAAAAACTGAGGCTTAAGTTAAGAGCTTAACTTCTCTAACCACATAACTAAGAAGTGGCAGAGGCAGCTTCTGAATCCCTGTAAGCAGTCATGCTCATGTGTTTAGGTAAAGCCTGAAATTCTTGTTGGTAAAAATGGCTATTTCATCAGACAGAGCTTGTGCTTCTCTGATACACCAAGATTACGAGGACCTGTTATGACCACTAGTACTTAATTTTTATTTCCTCCTCCCCCAGTTCTACTGTTAGAATGCATGGATTTGATCCTAATATGCAACCCAGTTCACAAAGCTCCCAGTGGTCTTAGATCCTTGTCAAACGTTAACAAAGAAGCCTTTACCATCAAAGGAACAAGAAACTCATTGTGATGAGACAATGTCCTTAATAGTGAAGGTGCAGTGGGAAAAATTCCTGTGGAACTGAATGTTGAAGTAGCTAGGCTTGGAATCTGGCAGAGGGGTGAGGGAATCAGATCCTGCTCAGTAGAAAAATGAGTTGGAACATAAAATGCTCTTTGTGTGTTATTAACGGGCTCTGTAGCAGCTGTGTTGTTGTGAATGTCTTCTACAGTTCTGAAAAGAAGTACTGCTCTGGCACTGGGTGGCCTTCATTTACTGAGGCTCATGGTACATCTGGCTCTGATGAAAGTAACTCAGGGATCCTGAGATGTCTGGACACCTCATTAGGATCTGCTCGCACAGAGGTTGTCTGCAAGCAGGTGAATTTTTTTGTTTCATTTTGTTTTCTCTAAGGTCTCAGGTGTCACAAAGAGCTCTCTTATTCTTGGTATATCTAGTGTTATTCCACGGGGGTACATTTGTCATTAAAACACATTGAGCTTCTATTCATGCTGATAATATTCCACTTCTCTCCCATAATTCTCAACACTGTAAATAAGAGAGAAGGAGCTCTGGTAGCATAGTGCTGAAGACATTTGACTGCTAACCAGAAGGTTAGTGGTTCCAACCCACCAGCTGTTCCACAGAAGGAAGATGAGGCAATCTACTTCTGTAAAGATTTACTGCATTGGAAACCCAATGGCAGTTGCTATGAGTCAGAATCGACTCCATAGCAGTGGGTTTGGTTTGGTTATTTTTGGTAGATAAGAGAAAAAGGCTATTTGGGCCCCTCTCTGAAGTGGCCTTAATTCTAGCTTTCCATGGAAGTGGGAACTGAATTAGGATCTGAAGGAAAGAGTTGGCCCTTCACATTCTTATAAGAAGTAACAGCAGGGGCCAACGTGGTTGGTATCAATCTGACTTCTTCCTCAGTCTGCAGTGTCTCATCAACAGGCAGAGCAATCTTCAGGGCATTGCTCCTTCTGTGAGAAAGTGGCTTAAATCCAGACAGCAAACTTATTTTGATATCCTTGAGTGTTCAAATGTTCTGACTCAACCAGTTGCCAATGAGTCAATTCCAACTCACGGCAACTCCATGTTTGTCACAGTAGAAATGTGCTCCACACACTTGATTTTTTCAGAATTAGACTACCAGACCTTTCTTCCAAGATGCTTCTGAGTGGACTCAAACTTCCAGCCTTTCAGTTAGCAGCTGAGTGTGTTAACCATTTGCACCCAGGGACTCCTGTCTAACTTATGAGCTTTACAAACAACAAGGGCAAGCAGATAAAGATATCATAGTCATAGTCTTGCCTTCAATTAAAAAATAGTAACACCCTAACCACAACAACTGATATTATGAGTGCTTAGTGTATACCTCAAGGAGCTCTGATAGCATAGTGCCTAAGGCACTTGACTGCTAACCAGAAGGCCAGCAGTTCAAACCCACCAGCCACTCCTCAGAAGGAAGATGAGGCAATCTACCTCCATAGTGATACTGCCTTGGAAACCCAAGGAGGGGTCGCTATGAGTCAGGGCCGACTCTACGGCACATAACAACAACAACAACAGTGTATACCTCAAGAACTATATAAGCTTTATATTCATGTCAGTTAATCATCAGAGCAGCCCTGTTAGGTAGATGTAATTATTATCCCCATTTTATTGATAAGTAAACTAAGACCAAAGTTAAATAACTTGTCACTGGTAAAGTAGACATATTTACTATTACTATACTCTGCATTCTTTCTTAATCAAATTCTGATGTGATAGACTGTCTTCCCCTCACAAATATTAAACACTAGAGTAGGGTGGCCATGTGGACTTTATGTGTCTGGTATGTAAAGAGCTTTGCTTCATTTGAGGAACTGACAGAGGTTTCTTTCCTTTTCAGTGTGAAGCTCATCTTGGCCATGTGTTTCCTGATGGACCTGGGCCTACTGGTCAGAGGTTTTGCATCAACAGTGTGGCTCTGAAGTTTAAACCAAGTAAACACTGATTATCTCTGGACACTCTTTCATTTACATCCTTGATGTAATAAGCATGCATAAGAAGATTTATTTACTATAAAATAAGGCTAAGTTTGCTACTGGAACCAAGAGAGTCACAGCTTCTCTTATTTATTTACCTGAAATCAGATGAACCCTGACCCCTGCTTTGATTGTGATTTCACACAATGACAAAAGGGTAGCCATTGATTTCTATAGGCTTTGCCTGGGAACACAAAGCATGACTCTTTGGGGACATAGGAAGTTGATTGACTAGTAAGCCAAAAGCTCCTACAGAATGTCCCTCAGCCTTCCACTGCAGTTAAGTCCATCATGGACATGTATAGATGAGGGATCCATTGAAAAGAGGTTGGAAAACCAATATGGGATCAGGGTAATCAATAATCTTAGCTTTGAAAGAGGCACCAATGAGTAGGATTGTGGGAGAGCTGTGCCTTGAGAGGCACATGTGGTGATCAGTGGGATATATGACTTTTTCAAAATTCTAGAATTTTTTGAACATTCTAGTTCCAATCTTTTTGCCCACAAATAAACTCCGATGAGAATTTGTTAGATTTCAGTGATGATTAATGATATTCACCGTCATCCTTTCTGGCTATAAAGATAAACTTGGAAATGTTCAAATAAAATTTTTGCTAGAATTCATGTTTGATTTTTGTCTAAGTCTATGTATTTATGCTTTCATAAAAATGACCAGAATGTGGGACTTTAAAATGGTACAACCACTGTGGAAAGCAGTATGGCGATTCCTTCAAAAGTTGGAATTAGAAATACCATTTGACCCAGCCATTTCATTACTAGGAAAGAAGTGAGAGGCATGAGAAGAACAAACATATGCACACCCATGTTCATTGCAGCACTATTTACAATAGCCAAAAGATGGGAACAACCTAGGTGTCTATCAACTGAGGAATGGATAACCAAACTATGGTACATACACACAATGGAATACTATGCAACCCTAAAGAATAACATAGAATCTGCAGAATACCACATAACGTGGATGAACTTGGAGGACATTATGCTGAGTGAAATAAGTCAATCACAGAAGGACAAATACTGTATTAGTTCATTATTGTAAAAGTCAAGGAAAGGTTTATATATGGAAGGAAATTTTCTTTATTGGTTACCAGGGGTGGGAGGGGAGTGAGAGAACACTGTTAGATAGGTATAGATAGGTATTGATTTAGGTGAAGAGACGGGGAATGTACCAAATGTGAGTGATCAACATGGTGGCATTGAGGAAGAGGAAGACAGAGAGAGGTACATGGGAGGTGCAGACAACAAAGATGAACCCTTTTACACACACAGTACTGCATTTTCAGTGAAGGCAAACATGGGTATATGGGTGTATAGATGGGTGGGCAGGTCTATGAAGTGGGGAGTATACCCAAGACCATGTATAGGGTTGGAAGACAATGGTCCTATAAGTTTATGTGTATGATCTGAATTCCCAGGTACATAGTAGAGCTGACAAGAGCAAGGTTGTAGTCACTGCTTTGTCACAGCCAGCTACCCAGAGGGACCGAGTAGTTGAACCTGTGGGCTTGGGACCATAGT